TCTTTGTTAAGAGTGCGTAAGCAGGTCTTACGCACCACCATGCTGGCTACTTTTATGCATAATTTTGTGTTCTTGTGCATGTGTGCACACACGCACACACTCAGGTCAGATATAAGTGAAGTTGTTTAACAACCTCTTTCACTAAGTCCTTGAGAAATGGAGAAGGGGGGCACCTGGGTGGCTCAGGTGGGTAAGCGACTGCCTTCGGCTCAGGTCATGATCCTGGAGTCCTGCATCAGGGCTCCCTGCTCAGCAGGGAGTCTGCTTCTCCCTCTGACCCTCCCCCTTCTCATGCTCTCTAATACATACATGAATAAATAAATCTTTAAAAAATTTTTAAAAAAGAAAAGCGGAGAAGGGCTGAAATCAAATATTAGATGATGGGAATGGCTTAATATACCAATAGTTTAAAAATGCTTAAATGCTACTTCAGATGGGGGGGTGCCTGATAGTAGAGCATGTGACTCGATCTCAGGGTCCTGAGTTCACGCCCCACATTGGGCGTGGAGCGTATGAAAGAGAGGAGGAAAAGGAAGAGGAAAAAGAAAGGAAAGGAAGAAAGGAGGAAAGAAATAGTACAGACAGAACTCAAGAATAAAAATAAGTTTGGATTTTGTGAGTAAAATATGCTGAAGTGAAATTTAAAAAATTTAAGTCATTTGAAAAGTGGCACCCCTTTCTGAATCAAGTATAATCTTGCCTAGGTGAAAACTAGCTTTCTCAGATATTTTGGCCTAGATTTTTATAGATGAATGATGGATGAGAAAACAAATGACTGAACTATTAACGTAACACACACATAAAAGGACACTTTAGCAATCCACTTTAATCTAGGAGAAAATTATTTTAAATTCAAACTAGGTTGGCTTTATTTTAGGCTTACAGGGCTTTAAGGTAAACAAATTTTCTTGTAAAAGTAAAAATTTTAAAGTAAACATAAAATTTAAGATTTAGGGGCACCTGGGTGGCTCAGTGGGTTAAGCCTCTGCCTTCGGCTCGGGTCATGATCCTGGGGTCCTGGGATCAAGCCCCCGAATTGGGCTCTCTGCTCAGCAGGGAGCCTGCTTCCCTTCCTCTCTCTGCCTGCCTCTCTGCCTGCTTGTGATCTCTGTCAAATAAATAAATAAAAATCTTAAAAAAAAAAAAAATTTAACATTTAATTCTAACCTCACGTTAGGCCTATTTCTAACCCGGTAGTTAAGAGTGTACACTTGGAGTCAGGAAGAAAAGGGTTTGAGTCCTGGCTTTGCCACTTCACAGACAGGTGAACCACCAGCTATATGTAACAAATTACATAATCTCGATCTCTGAATTCCTCACATGTAAAGTAAGGACAATACCACCTACCTGAAAGGGTTGTTGATTACATAAAAATACATAATGTGAGGCCATTCTTCAGCACAGTGGCTGGTACAAAATACTTACACCACAGTATGACTAACCTACCATTAAAAAAGCTTGGCTAAGGGGGCGCCTGGGTGGCTCAGGGGGTTAGGCCTCTGCCTTCGGCTCAGGTCATGATCTCAGGGTCCTGGGATCGAGCCCTGCATCGGGCTCTCTGCTCAGCGGGGAGCCTGCTTCCCCCTCTCCCTCTCTGCCTCCTTGTGATCTCTCTCTCTCTGTCAAATAAATAAATAAAATCTTAAAAAAAAAAAAAAAAAGCTTGGCTAAGGAAAGGAAACAGCAGAGTATTTATTTTCCATATTTCATCTGTTTTTATTTTTCAAAATAAAGTTTTAGAGTTGAAAATCAGATATTTTGCCACATTTATGAAGGACTACCTATCTTCTAGTCCCTCTGTAAAAAATGGATACATACACCTGCCATTTCTATTCCTCATGGAGGATTTCCCATCTGTTGCTCTTAATCCATATGAACTGCTTCTAAAGTCACCTTTAGTGATTTTCTTCCTTAATCTGCTTTGGCCACCACCCACTCAAGGTTTACTTTGATCTAATTAGTGAACGTCAACCATGGTTTTTCTTTCAGAGTTCAACATTTCAAGAAAAAGAAAACCACACAGGTATTCTGTAGTAACCTATCAACTTTCCCCTTTCTGAGGTTTCAGTACTTATTTTATCTTCCATGACTCTTATAACCTGCTTTCTGGTCTAATTCCTAAATAAATATCCCAGAACATTTCCTCAGTGACCTGGTCTTTTTTGCTTTTTCCTTCCTGTTGCTATTTTCCACCAATTTCCTCAAACTTTAATATTAAAGCCTGTTTTTCTAAACTCATTTCATTTTCTTGAAGATGGGCTCCTAACCTTTCCTTTCAATCCTGAACACTCTAATATTTGTGGTGGCCTTCGCCAAAGTTTTTAATCTCCGACTAGATCCAACTAGACCAACCAGATCCTGCAAACCACTGCACACATCTATTGCTGATACCTTTTCTACTAAGGTCTACTCTGAATCCCCAGGGAGTGTGAGATAATCTATTGCTCAAAGTGTCCTCAGGGACACCGGTATCACCTAGAAGCATGTTAGAAATGCAAATTCTTGCCCCATCTCAAACCCACTGAATTATAATCTGTATTTAAAAAAAAAAAAATCCCCCGAGATATCCACCCATACTGAAGTATGAAAAATACTGTTGAATGATGAATTGTGACCTAAACAGTTTTTAACTAGAAAATTAAAATCATCATCGTTAAGTTCTTTCAAAATTATTTTGACAGATGCAACAAATGGTCTCATTTACCTTTTTTCTCACATTTTGGAAAGTCAAACAGAAATGACATTACAACTAACAAACTTACATTACTCTTCATTATTTTTTAAAAATTGTGATAACAATATTAATTATTGGTTGTATTTAGACAGATCAAATTTCTCCATACCAACTCTACATAAATATGATTAATCTGGTAAGGTTCTGCTTCTTAACAGGAAGCATGAAAAGTTTCAATATGACCAGTCAATGCTAAACACAGATGATCTAACCACAAATTCTGTTACATCATAACCTGCCAGAAGTATACCCAAGTTGCTCTGACCACATCAATTCAGCAAAAAATATAAACCCCTTTATAATTAACAGGTTCAAATGAAAAGTTTTAATAATACCTTGATCAATATAAAAACACAAAAATTGCAAAATAGTGATTTCGCTGATAAAAACAGTAATGGCTTTTTAAAACATATGAACTGCTGTTTCTACTACTTAAAAACCTAGACAACTGAAATTTGCAGTTTTAAAGGATTCTTGGCTTTAGTATTGAAAGTACAGGCATGGCTTTGTCTCCGAATTCTATTAAAAAGTGCTTGATACAGTGTATGAGATCTTCAATAATGGAATATTTTCAAAGTTAAGGAAATATTTTCCCTTTTGTCTATCTGAAAACTGAGGTTGAGCTCCTGCCCCCACTCCCAATATTATCATCCTTGACAATACTGATCCTCACCGTTTACCTTTGTGGAAAATAATTTTAAAGTGATCAAACCTCATGTTATTTTAAAGGCATGACTTGAGTTGTACAATTATATGACTAATTTAACCTCCGACTCTCTTAATAAATGGATAGCTGGGCCTAAAACTCACCCTTTGGGAATTCTAAGTAAATAGTTGAATAAAACACTACTCATTAGTGGTTTTTTGGGGGTATTAGTTTTTGAGGAAATGCTTATATATGATCCACAATTTCAAGTTTCAGTAAACAGAAATGTGATTTTCATAGCTACAGGCAGAAAATACTCCTTTATGCAAATATAATACACCCCACTGAAAATATCTAATAAAATCTAATTATTTCTAAAATTAAACTAAATATATTCAGGGCTTCGAGTAGCGCCCAAAGATACCAATAGAGCCTAAGCTTAAAATGATCAGCAAAAGCAACCTCTTATTTTTGGAAAAAACACACCATAAATCAGTAAGCTGCCCCACCCCATCCCCAGCTCTGTCAACACCAAGTTTAGATATTTTTTTGGTTACAACATTCCTTCTTGTCTCCGAATGATCTGTTGATTTTGGACAAAAGAAAAACAAACAACAAAATCTTTCTGGAAAATACTAACCTAGAGGAGTTATTCTGTCTATTCCTTATGTTAAAAACAGCAGGAAAAAAAAAACAAGAAACAGTAGGGTAATCACTTTTTCTTTCCTACAAGCTCACATTCATTTAACAATCTTCATTCAAAAGAGACAAGGCAGAATATATTACTCTTCCTTCTGAAGAGTTTCTTACTCAATTTGTTTATAGATCACTATGTCCCTAGCACTTTCCTCCTAGGTCTTTTGGCTATTAATGGTACAGTTTGCAGAAAAATGAGCACATTTCTTCAGGTAAATTTCCATTTGGTGTTGCAGAACTTCTACCTCTTTGACTGATAAAGAACTAAGTACACCCTCAAGGGAAAGAACTCACAAGAAAAATTACTGTATTAGGGCTCTCCTCAAGAGTATGGGATCAATATGAAAACAGAAACCCTTATCAAGTTTGAAGAACTCACTCCCAACATGGTGCGTCTTGTATACTGGAGACATTTCCCAATGATGCGCCTAAACCCTTCAACACAGCCTTCCTCAAATATTCCCTCACCACTTCTTCACTTGCTGGCATGTTGTGTCAAGGGGCCAAGAACACGGGGAATAAAATGCCTTCTGAAAGCACTGTACAGGTGTTTCCCTTTGCCCGCCTCTGTATGTTTTCTAGATCATTTCCAAATGGATATGCCACAATTTCATCAGAAAAACTTTACTGGCAAACTTTTATGCCAAAAGCCAACATTCCCATCTTAAACCTGAAGACCCAGCTCTAACCCCCAGTAAAGCTACTTCCTGACATTTTAATAGACCCCCTCAAGTTCAGCTCTTTTGTTTTTACTCCTTCCCACTCCCTCACTGTCTTCTTTCAAGCCAGTACCCAATACCTAGTACTAAATGTGAAGACAGAACTCCATTTGACCACAAAAGTCTCAATTACAGAACTACTGAATCTGTTTTACACAATCGAAACCATCACACCCCACCCAAAATCACCAACACAACATTTTGAACATGTTCGATTTTATTAAAAATATTTAACATTGTACAAATATTCCAATACAGTTATGGTACCTGAACACTGTACCAAAAACATGATTTTTATTAAACTGCTGATTAAGTGGTCTTGCAAATGTTCCTACTGTAATATTCTCATATTACTATATGCATATAGCAATGTCATGTTCACAGGAGCTTTCAGCTCAGTTATAGAAATAGCCTTACAACATAGTACTAAACATCTTAGTAGGATTTGTTAAAAGTACAATTCTACCTATGTTACCGAACAGGCTAGAGAAGTTCCTTTTGTCCAGCCATTATAAACGAGAAATCAAGAAAAGCAACGTTCATGGGATCCTACAAAGTTACTACATAAAATGAAAACCCCTGTTTGTATTTGAAGAATTGAAGCTTTCCCCCCACTCCGCAAGGTCTCCCTTCCTGATCCCATGAAATGCGTTTTGTTGTTAGTATATCAAAGCCACTAACTAGACTTTGTGCTGCAAAGATGAACTCCTCAGAATTACTTGCGTGTTCCTACTGCTTACTATCAAGCTTTCCAAAGAGCACATTATTAGTGCAATCTTTATAATCTTTTCTATCAATGGTACAGCATAAAATGTGTCAGAAGAGAAACAAGTACCTCAACAAAATGATGTAATCACTGCAATTCTTAAAGTATAATTTCATTATAGCAATTTACAAGTAGTCTACGACAAGCTTACAGACAAGATTTCAGAATACTGACTAGCGCGTTTAACACCCAAGATTCATCCTAGACATACGTTCAACCAACAAAGGAGGCTTAAGAATATTAGGGAGGTTCTTCATGTATGAATATTCATAATTACTTTTGATCAGTGATTACGTCATATTATAATTATTTTTTTATATGTTATGGTCAGAAATGCTTAGTTATTAAATTTAATTTCCTTGCTTTATACTTTACTATCATGGAATCCTCTACTGTGAGAGATTTTAATCTTTAATATCATCTAAAAATGGACAAATTCTACCACTACCTACTAATCGCAACAGCTGTCCTGGATTTCAGACAAAACACAAGTTGTTGACAGATTAATGGTTTTGCTATGTTCAAGGTTCTAATATTTAGCTAAGTAATGTCCTCTTGACTCAAAGTCATTATGTCAAATGTATTTTTAAAACAAGCCCTCTCCTGTTTGTGAAACTGCTAGAACTTTTAAGTTTCATTTTACAATGTTAAAATTTTTTGGAAGATTTAAAAAATAATTTTTCCTAGTGTTTATTTAAATCCTCCATCCTATCAACAACTTCTACTTTTGCTAGTATCAGCGTGCAATAAACATCTCTTAAGATGCATTATGTACTCATCTTCCCAATAAAAATGCAAACATAATGAAGATATTAGAGGGATTGAAACCACAGTAAAATAAAGCAAATTTATTGTCTAAAAGTCTTGAGAATTTATCTTGTAAAGTGTCTATTTTCATCACCTAAAATATACCCTGAGTATTTTGTTACTTCATACTTGCAGACCTTTCCTACTAACCTGTACTTTGAGAATAAAAAGTATGAAGTAGTTATTATATGTTCCTATTAAGAACTAAATTATTTAATATTAAAGTCTTACTTGCCTACAAGGCCAACATAAATGCCCACTTATAAAATATGGGCATTTTCCCACACTTAATGTCCCACTACTGATTAAAAAAAAAAATAGGAAAAAAAAAATTTCTTACCAACAATTCCACTGGTTATCGTCCCCAGCGAACCCCACCTAGCAAGTCGACATCATGACATGTCAGGTCAGGGCAGCCTCAACCTCGCTTCCCTGATAGTCAGGTGATAAAAGGAAGGAGTTAAAACAGGAAAAGTACACTTGCAGATTTCTGGATAACATCTGAAAATGGTTAAAAAACAAAAACAAAACAAAACAAAAAACCCAGAGCTTCTGGTAACCTCTAAATAAAAATTACATAAGTATATATATTTAAAAAGAAAAAAAAAACTATTCTAGAAAGATTAACAGTAACTACTTCAAATACTTTAAATATTTATATTCATTACTGACCAAATACATTAAATATGCAGTATTTTTAAGGCTTGGTGTTTGCATTTCAAAATTCAGAACTAATTCACAAGCTACTAGCACAAAAGTAAGCATGCTTGGTTAGTGGATTTGTCATTCTGAATTCTCTAGTCAGTCACCCAATCCACAGGCTTACTGAGAACTAAGTTAACAGAAGCTCCCATTCTTAGAGAAACATAAACACACTTATAAATCCAGTACACTCTTTCTATAAGGCTTTTTCTTAGCTGCTCACTTAAGAGATGCCACACAAAAAGGGACAACACTAACATTTCTTTACATACTTCAGTTGGTTTTCTTTAAGAATACTGGATAGCTCAGTAAACAAAATTCTCTTTGAAAAATCAAAACTGCAAATTTTAACAAATGTAGAACTCTTTACAATTGACAAGTAATAGCCTTATAGCAAGTATTTACTGGAAGGGTTTTGGATTTTACAAATAATACACAATTAATAAAACATAGGTATGATTATCCAAATGGGCAGGAGGCAAATGATGTAATGAGTTTCCAGAATATTATGTGGCTTTATGCTAGGAATGGAATTTTATGTCCCTTCTCTTTTGGAATTTAAAATAGAATTTATTTTGATGCATGCTAATCTTTTTAAAAAGAGGGTTCACCTCCTAAGTCAGATTTCAAATGAGAGAAAAATTGTCTATTAATAGAAAGCATTGGGCTTTCTTATGCAGAATAACCCCAGTAACTAAGAAAACAAAAACAATTATGCTGAACTCTTTGCTTAAAAAAACTAACTACAGAACCGTAGCAACTCAATTTCCTTATCAATTGATCAAATAAACTTGGATTTATTAGAAATCTGGCAACTTATTAGAACTTTTTTGCTTTAAAAAAATTAAAACACTGTCATTTAAATACATACATTTAAGCAACTGCTATAAATGAGTGATCAAATAAAAATTAGCATTCCATTATGGGGAAGGGGTATGTTTAGGTCAGTCTTAGGAAGGTACCTACAAAGAAGAGGTTGGCCTCAATATGAAGTAAATATATTTCCCAACACACATTACTGTAGCAGGCTCATAAGTAAAGCAAATGAATTAGGTTGGGGAACAAAAAAGATGGCGTAAGAGCAGGGAATGAAATTTCCCAGAACTCGTTAAAAAAAATTCATTAAAATAAAGCACCTAATGAAAATCTAAAATAAAGACCTCCTGAATGAACATTTTTCAGGCTTCTGTATTAGATTGTTAAGGTTTATTTCTGTGAAAAGTTAAGCTCCAAATCTATTTTCTCTGCATGCTGCTACAGCAAGAGTTTACAAGATTCAACAAGGGAAAAAGCTCTGAAGTGAGACTTAATGTTCAAAAAGTTGTGTTTTTCTGTGAAATAAAATAGCTACAAAAACCCTATAAAGCAATTATTAGGGGACATCTCTTAGACATATTTTAATAGGTGAGAGTAAAATATTATTTGCAACTAGAGGAAAGGATTTTGTCATGGAACCCAAGTTTTAGTCTTATGTTTTTGCTAGGGCTTATATTTTAGGATGGGTAGGGGAAGCACAATCAATTACTTTTTCAGAATCACTTCTTTACCCATTCCTAATTTTCCTCATGATTACCTTTGTATCTGGTAACATCTAATTTTAAAGAAATACAAACAAATCAAATTTTACTTGTAGATGCTTTCTTCTTCCCAAGAAAAATCGGGATTTAAGTCTAATTTAGACTTATAATAACTACAAATTGTATTTTCAAAGTTTAAAAGCAGCATTTAAAGAATGTTTGGTGTCTTTACTTACATACATGGGCATAAGAAAAACTACTGTATCTAAGCTTTACCAAATAAATACCCATGTTAATTTGGGACAGACTACATAATTCCTTTATGAGTTTCCAAAAACACAAAAGGAATATTAATAAGGTCTTTTAACTTACTGAACTATATAGTAAGTGTACTTTTAAAGAGAGATAAATAATAGACTTTCATCAGTAAATACTAATTTTCTTACTTGAAATCAAGAGAGAAGCCATGAAACTCAAAACACGATCTAAGCACGCTCGTAAGGAACTAAATGGCTTACGGTCCTGAGATCTACTACTGCTGTCCTAAAAGACACCAAACAGGAACAAAACACAAAATAAAGGTGTGATCATTTTAATTCCTCCCTAAATGGCTCATTTTTACAATTTAAAGCATTTTAGACCCACCTAGGAGTAAAACGGAAGAGAAAATTTTATGGTAATTTGAATGTGATCCAGACATTTCTGCACTGTCAAGTTTGGATTCTTTTGTTCCTCTTACTCTCGAGCAAAACTGTCATTATAATAATTCAGAATTTCTAAAGGAAACAGGGAAATAGATGTTATAACTTGGCCAACAAAAATTTAGCCAGGAGGGTAGTAAAAAAATAAGAGCGATATTAACCGAAAGTCAGAAGTATGACTAGTGGATATGTTTACGCCTCTCTTATAAGGCACGAGTGCTTCTCAAAGCAAATTTATGTAGCAATAGGAAATTATATTCCTAAACCAGTAACTGAAGTGGTAGTCACGATTATGTACACTACAATTTAAGTTTAGTCCGCAGTGCAATTGACGCCACAGTACTAGCATTTTTTCCTGTTATACATTCACTTATCCAGCAAATAAGGTCTTCAGACAACAAATTATCCTTTATAGAAAGAATGTGGGTCAAAAATAAATTGCAGTCTGCTTCCCCAACCCCATTTTACTTAACGCAAATTATCCAATGCCTGCAAGAATGTTCAAAAGCCTCTGAACCCGTTTTTATAAAAATAAAGGATAAAATTTCAAAATTAGAAGAGACTATGAGAGAACACCAATCAATAAAGTGCGATTTGGAATAAATACTAGAATTTAGACTAATCCTCAGTCTGATAACCACGATACATATTGGAATAGACAAGAAAATTTGCATGAATTTGATCACTCACATAGGCAGTTATCATTTGAAAACAAGATTCCTTGCAAAGGATTACGAATAAAATAATGTTTTAGGACACAATTGAATTTGAAATAGGTAATGTTTTGAATAGATTTTTTAGTTTTATTGAAATCTTACATGAACAAGAAATTGGAAATACAATCACATCAAAGAACAAATTGTCACGGCTTTGACGTTTAAGCCAAACAAATTTTGTAGGGCAGATTTCAAAAAGGTGTGAAGTTATAACAATTTAAAAACACAGTTAACCTACTTCTAGGAATGCAAAACATACAATCATAGGTTATTTTCAATACAAGAAAACTTAAATTTGTTTGCTTTAATTTCTTAAAACTACTAAGACAAAGCACTAGCTTGGATTTTTATTTACAGCATACTCCATACTCCTATGTCATCTATCCCAAATCCAAAAAAATGAAACTGTCCAAAACCAAAGGTTCTGCAAAATCATGATTTAACAGTGTGCTCAGCTTGTTTTTGAAGCTAAAATGAAGCCTGAAACGATAAAAGCATTGTAACCCCCAGAATAAGGGAACTCTGCAAGCCCAATAATGTCCAAGAGCATTTATGAAAAGAGGAAAAAAAATAAAAAGACTTGAGTATATATACAATAGTGATTTCTTCACCCAATACAAATGGCAGCAAACTGCTACTTAAAGATGAAACAGTTAAGCCAATTTTTTTTTTGAAGAATGTAGATCTAGAGCCAATCGGATCTTGCCAATATCATTTTCAAGCCCTCACTTGTCTATTTCCACTGTTGCCCATAAGTATCCTGATAAAATTCCTGGTTGTCATTATTGTAACCATAGTTACCAGAATAGTCACCACCTTGCTGAAGCGGCTGCTGAGCGATGGGTTGGGAACCCCAGTTCTGTTGGTTGTTGGTCTGACGGCGCTTGGAATCAGGTTGGTTGTACCCATCTGCCTTTCTCTTGCCTCCTACATTGCCCCCACGATTGCCCCGAGATCCACGGGAACCACGGCCTCTCTGCTGTTGTGCAGGACCCCCTCTGCCACCCCTAGAGCCTCTTGGTGGTCCCAAAGGTGCCCCCCTCTGTGAATAGCCAGCTCTACCTCTTGGAGGTGGTGCTCCCCGCCCCCTTGGTGGTGGTGGAGCACCTCGCCCTCCCCTTCCTCCTCCTCTTCCTCTTACTGCATAGCCATCATCATAGCCGTAGTAGGGATCTTCATAGCCTCCACGATAGTCGTGATAATCATAACCATAGTAATCATCATAGTAATCTTCATAGCCATAGTAATCTGGAGGGTAGCCATATCCACCTCTCCCCCCACCACGACCCCGACCTCTAATTGGAGGTGGCATACGAGGAGGAGGGTGATAGTAATAATCTTCATACCTAGCAATGAAGGGAAGGGAGAAAAGAAAAAAACAAATTAGCTTACTTCAGGTCTATTCCTGAATTTTTTTATTAAGTTGATCTCTATTACCAATTCATTCTTTGTTTAGAGATATATTTACTAAAATGTAGACTCACGCAGTGCTTCTGGAAGCCTGTCTAGCAGCTTGGCGCTCTTTCCTTTTCTTGTCTGGTGGCTTGGCTAAGACTATTTCAATTTCTTCCCCTTCTATCTCCTTGCCATTCATTTCATCCATGGCCTACACAAAATTACAAAAATAAATTTATTTTACCTGTAAAAATAGAACTTTAAAACATAATTACATAGACATACCCTCCCATTTAATACAATTAATAAACAATTTACTTCACAACTATTTTAACTGGCAAAAGAATCAAGCCACAAAGCAAAAAATACAAAGTATTTATTTCCCTCAATCTTACCTTCTTATGTGTAAATTATATTGAAAACAAAACTGATGTCCTACTCTTATATTTAAAAAGCTGGAAGGTCTTCCAGAGCCACCTATCACTGCTCCTTAATTCCAAAGAACTAACCCCTCAAGGTTGAGCCGTAACAAAAAAGCAAATCCACATCTGGGAAATGCCATAATTAACATAAACTTTTCAAGACTCAAATTTTTAAAATAAAAACATGGCATTCAACATGTAAATCTGAAACTGCTCTTCCATAAAAATCTTAAAGATCTGAAAGACAAATGAGGTTAATGAATGAGGTTATCAGTGAAAATGAACAAGATACCGACCAAAAAATGCCTAGGTTTCCCCCACAACACTTCACCTAGAACAGGTACAGACTAATAAAGCCTTGAGTATTCACCGGGAGAGCAGTAATCGAAAGCATCCTATGCTCTAGTCCTTTATCTGTGTTGTTCCACCTAATAGCCTCTGCCATACATCCAAGTTCAAGTAACTCAGTAACAAAATGTCACACCTCCTTGCCACAGCCTTTCTGCTTCCCTACACAATCTTTTCCGCTCTGGACAAACAGAATAAAACGCTCTATCCATAAAGAACATTCAGAGATTCACAAGCAACTAGACAAAGATTACATCAGTCCTCCTCTACCTGCTAACTGCTCCCCATGACCACACACTTCACCTAAAGCAACTAAGTCCACAGAAGCTTCCCAGTTGCTGACACATTTTGAAATTTCACAGACCTCTCTGGCAAACCCCCCTACCAGTTTTTATACTTCTTTTCAATTAGAGACAAGTTATTTAGTAACAACTGAATGAGAAGCAATACTCAGAAGGTATAAATTAGTTATCCGTGTTTCATACCACTGGCAATTTCAGAAACCAAGCATTAAATTCTGCACTAAGCTGTGAATTTTATAAGCAATGCTGTCTCACTAATTAGCTTTCATCAAAAAGCAAGCCAATAAATTCTAACTAATACAAAGATTCTATAAGGCACACTTTAAAGCAAATATCCTGGGCAGGAAACAGAAACTGCTCAAATTAGAGGGGGCCCCACTCCAACAGACCACGCCGAAGAAGGACCAGGCCTGAGTGAGTCACTGAGGATGCTCGACATACCTTCCCAAATAAAAAACTTCTGTTAGTGTTTTGTCTTCTCTCCCCAATCGGGAAAGGTGAGAGGAACAAGAAACTACCAATTCACATGGAAGATACTGCTGATCCACTATTGGCAGAAAACAGCACAGGTATTCAGGTTTTACCCTCTCGCCACCACACAAAATGCTTTCACACTTTTCATTACTATCATCAAATTGACTATTATATTCAAGAAGTATCTCTAACAACTCCTGAAACCAGCAACACAGCTAATACTACTAGAATTCCGCAATGACTGAAGAAAGGCAAATCTATGAAGGACTAACCACTCTCTCTGAACACATCTGGTGAATTCAGTAGGTCAGTCGTGCTGTGTGAGAAGTCACACACACTGACTGCTCTGGTCTTTCACAGGTCCACAAAGTAAGGTAAACAAAGCAGTTATAATATGATTCATTACCTGTTTACCATTTACAGCAGCTAATTCCTACACCTTATAATATTTCCAGGGCATCATGCTATCAAATATTAGGCTTACAAAAACAATATAGAGATTAAAAATAACTTGCCTGAAGTTACAAACCCAGTTAGTAATAATCAGGCTTTGAAATATGAAAGCTTACCTGTTACACTACTACCACTTCACAGATTATTAAAAGTAAGTTCCAGAGTTCGGCAAAAGCTGAAAACCAATTTTATTTCAGTTTTTAAAGTCATTTTATGTGTTTAGCAAGTCTCAACAACAAAATTCAAATATCAAGAAGCAAAATTTCAAGTTTCTACCTTAACAGCTGCTCCTCTGTCTTCAAAATGAACAAATGCATAATCTTTCAACTTCTTCACTCGTTCGAGTTTTCCAAATTCAGAAAATGACTTTTCCAATATTTCTTCTGTCACTGTAGTAGCCAAGTTTCTCACAAATAAAACTTTCACCTAATACAACAAATATAAAACATTGGCATTGGCTACTAATTTTTTGCTTAAGTCTTACATTAAAGTATTTCTTCCTAACTTCACAGCAGGCTTTCCTTCTCAAAAACATTAAATAATAAAGGTGCATCACAGAAGGTATAAAAATTGCCAAGAAAATTATTCTGTAAGTTACCAATTTATATAGATTGGTTCCTTCTCCTGCCCTGTAACTAGCACTGGGGCACCTGGGTGGCTCAGTCGGTTAAGTGCCTGCCTTTGGCTCAGTTCATGATCCCAGGGTGCTGGGATTGAGCCCCACATCGGGCTCTCTGCTCAGTAGGGAGCCTGCTTCTCCCTCTCCCTCTGCTGCCCCCGCCTTGTGCTCACTCTCTCTCTGTGTCAAATAAATAAAATCTTTAAAAACAAATTCTGAAAAAATAAATAAAAATAAAGTACCTAACACTGTGAACAGAACCTTCAAGGAGCCAAGAGATAATTACTAAGTTAATTCACAAATTTAACAGGTCCCTGAGTATCAACTGAAACAACATGTTTTGGGGTTTTGCTCCCTGCAGAACTGAGTAATTAAGCTAATTCTAAAGTTCATATGGAAAAATAAACAAGAACAGTCAGAAAAAAAAAATTTGGAGACTAGCCCTACCAGATATAACAAACTATAATGCTTAAATCACTGAAACAGTATAGTGTTCACCTGGATAAAACTAAAAGTTGGGGGTGCCTGGCTGGCTCAGTTAGAGGGGCATGTGACTCTTGATCTCAGGGTTGTGAGCTCGAGCCCCACGCTGGGTGTAAGGATTACTTAAAAATAAAATCTTAAAAAAAGAAGTTGGATTCATACCTCAGACTACATACCAGGGTAAACTCCAAATAGATCAAAAATTTTAAAAGGGGTGGTGATGGGGAGAGTCTGAAAAATATTAAAAGAAAATAAAGGTGGGGCACCTGGATGGCTCAGATGGTTAACTGTCTGCCTTCCACACAGGCCCTGATCCAAGGGTTCCGGGATTGAGCCCCACTCTTCCTCTCCCTCTGCCTGCCACTCCCCCTGCCTGTGCTTGCCCACATGCTCTCTCTCGCTCTGTCAAATAAATAAATATTGAAGGAAAGAAAGAAAGATAAAGGTAATTCCTTTACATAACATTGCTCCAAGGAAGGCTTTATAATTTAGAAGCTATTATAGGGGCGCCTGCGTGGCTCAGTGGGTTAAGCGGCTGCCTTCCGCTCAGATCATGATCTCAAGGTCCTGGGATCGAGGCCTGCATCGGGCTCTCTGCTCAGCGGGGAACCATGCTTCCCCCTCTTTCTCTGCCTCTCTGCCTACTTGTGATCTCTCTCTGTCAAATAAATAAATACAATCTTAAAATAAAATAAAAGCTATTATATAAAGGAGTGGTAGAATTCACTACTAGAAATAAATGGCTTTCACATGGCAAAAATGACAGAAGTGGAGCCAAAAGACAAATGACTTCTATCACAAAGAGTTAACCTCTATTTTAAAATATCAGAGTTCCAGAAAATAAGAAAAAGCTCAATGGAAAACTGAATAAAAGACATGCAAAATTCATGAATACAAGGTTCATACAAAGAAACACAAATGGCCCTTCAACATACTAAAAACTTAAATCCATGCATAGTAAGAGAAGTAAATCATAACGGCTTTCAGATACACCATTTACCAGACTGGCAAAATCCAAAAATATTACACACTATTTTGACAAGGATGAGGAAAGTGGGCCTCTTGTATTTTGCTGGTGGGAGGATAAAACAGTACAGGGGAATATGGCAATATTTTACAATACAAAAGTATTTTATAATAATTGCAGAAGCATGTACTCTGTGGCCCACAATTCTATCTCTGAGAATCTATCCTACAGATGTATCTGCACTTTTATCAACTGACACCATACAAGCTCATTCACTATAATATTGTTACAATAATAGAAACTCTGCCCAACCAGCTGAACACAGTATAGTATACCCACACAATGGAACATTATGTAGCCATAATTGTTGGTAAGACATTTTTTCCCTTTTTTACATCTCTGAAATGGGAATCCAACTTACAGTTAATGTGACATGCAAGCACTGTTTCAAAATTAAATTGGCAACATTTAATAACTTCTTAGTAGTACACATAATAGTGATATACCACCTTAGAGTTCATGAACTAGGATACTGAATAAAGCAAATATAGATCAGTGAATGCAGGTTACCTGTACCCATCATGTAAAAAGTTCAGGAAAGTAAGAATACTCGTATTTGCCTGTATCTGTCTGAGGAAATACTACAAGAATAAACCAGAGACTACGAAAACTGGGTGTGTACTGGGAACGAGGGAATACAATAGATGCAGCTAGGTAGAGGCTGGACTTTTTGATTTTTAAAGATTTTATTTATTTGACAGAGAGATACAGAGAAAGCACAAGTAGACAGAGCAGCAAGCAGAGGGAGAGGGAGAAGCAAGCTCTCCGCTGAGCCGGGAGCCCGATGAGGGGCTGGATCCCAGGACCCTGGGATCATAACCCGAGTTGAAGGCAGCTGCTTAACCGACTGAGCCACCCAGGCATGCCGAGGTAGGACTTCTTTAATCTATACCTTTCTGTGTAATTTTGATTTTTGAACTAAGGAATTCTATTACCTATTCAAAGAAAAAAATTAACATACCCGGTGAATAAACTCTTTCCTCAGATAAAGGATATATGAATAAAAATTATTTGGGGGAAGGTATTACTTCAAGGCGGGGACTCTAACACTGTCCACCTCCATCTCTACCCTCTTTATTTTCACAGTGTTGTCAGAGAGGTCAGACTCAACATTATGCAGGCCTCAGTTGGTTTATTTACCCTTTTTTTTTTTTTTTAAACCAAAACCAATTTTTTTTTTCTTTTTCAGGATGAAACCAAAACATACGATGTAAAAATTACTTGTTGAAAGTTTGTTTAAAACATTCAACAGGAAAAAAGTCCCTTTAAGAAATATAGGCTCTTAGGTTTCGGTTGATTATAAACTGACCCAACTTGGCAAGAAATCTTTAATGAATTAGAACACTGATAATGTTAACAGCAGAAGGGTAGAGCATCCACCCTCCACTTTAGAAAACAATAAAGGAATCAGTATTAGTCAATCAAATTTACTCAGTCGGTATTATTCAAGTTTACAGAGGCCTCTTTTTCATTCTGAATGTTGTTTATGATCTAGGAAGTATAGTTCCTAGAATAAAATGTTGAGGTTTTCTAACCCTATAAAGCTCAGGATGCACTTCAATCCAAAAAGTTATTAAGAGGTATGTGAAAAGTGTTGATGAGCACATCACCAGCCAAACTACACTTCAGATTCTCTGTGAATTTTATTCACCTCTTAAAATGTGTAACATATCTATACTGCTATTTTAAACAAGTTTTTACAGAAAAAGCAATACAAACTCTACTGTTTCTACAAGGCAATTCCAAATTGTAAGGGTGCTTAAGAGATTTATCCAACTCCAATAAAACAGAGGACATCCAAGTTCAATAGGTTTGCCCAAAGTCACAATTAATTGTATTAGAAGAAACAAATGGAATTAAAATCAAGTTAGTAAAAAATAAAAATAATCAGAGCTATTTAAATTCCTAGTCTCTTTCCTTAACACAAATCCATTCAAGGAATACAAGAAAAGGACACTGAGCAGCACATCTGAGAGCCTCTCTGGTTCATTCTCTGTGGATCTTCTCTAACCCAAGATGACTTTGCCTATAAAACTTGTTCACACTAGTATAAACTGGGGCTCTCCTCCAAACTAATTAGAGTGAAGATTACTTGCTCAGAACCTGGAATAAAAAGCTTTAGAGGAAGACTTCCCAGTCTAGGAGAATTCAACTACCAATTTATGGTCATTACAGAGTTGCTGCCTCACCAAGAAGGGAAGAGACACACAAAAATACTCAGAAATTCACTAAGATCAGCAGAGATGCAACTCTGATGAGTCCCTTCAATTCCAGCAGTCACCTGAAGGGAAAGCCTAACAATCAAGCCTCATGGCACCATTATTTACCAGGCAGGGATCATGGCAACAGAAGTATAAGGCTTAGGAGGAAAGTGAGGGCCTGCCACAGGATCTGCCATGCATATTTTGCCACCACCACACAAGAGCAAACACGATAACCCTCTGCCTTTCTTCATGGAGACAACAGTCTTAAGGGAACTTAATCGTTAGATTAAAAAAAAGAAATAGAAAAATCAGCTATAAATCTAAATAAATTATCAATGGCCATGTAATAAGTCTTACTATGGTCAATGAAGACTGCAATTCATAATCTCCAAAAAACATTACTTCTGTCTGTATCCAATAAGACCTCTCTTTTTTAAAAACTCTGTATCCTTCCTAGCTCCTAGCACTGAACAAATTCTCAATGCTGATGGACATACTTAAACCAATTTCACTTCAGTTCCTTTTGCACATTTAATCTCCAGGAAAAGGGATGATAACAGAAATTTCTAGATACCAAGAAAGACTGTTAAGTTTGGTATTAAAGCAGATTCTAGAATTAAGATCAAGAGCTATAAACTGTATTTATTATATAACTTTTAAAAGTTGAGCTTTATCGGAGTACAAAATTTAAATAATCACCTCACCCCCATCCCAAGCAACTGCATTTACCTTAGCCATGACTTCTGGATCTGGTTCTTCCACAGGGTCAGCCCATTCAACTGTAACTACATTTCCCCATACTTTTACTTTTCCACTCATCAGCCGGCGTCTGGCTTGTGCTGCTGACTTGTGATCCTCATATTCAAGGAAGCAGAACCCCCGATTCTTCTTTTTGTCATCGGGTTGATGATAGAGAATAACGTCCACCAAACCCTCTGTTAAACCAACAGCCAGATATATAAGCCAAAAGCATCCACCACACATCTAGCGGTTAGGCAGACCTAAATCCATTTGCCGAAGAGCAAAAAATATTGAAGAAGCCTCAAAATGATTCCCTAATTACCTAGTAGACAATTAAATCAGCATTGTTAGATATGGATTGTGAAACAGTATTTTATGTTCCTTTTTAATTTTTTTCAGGGTCCTGAGGGTACAGCCATAAGCAACAGGTCCAGTTACTGTATTCTGATATAGAACATACCATGTTTTAGAGTGTTTGATATAACAAGACCTTACAATTTATGAAACCAAGGAATTTAAAAACCAAATTATTAATATAAATTCAAAGGAATTTACATTCAACCAAGTAATCAAGACCAAAAATCATCCTTGGCTCTAACTTAAAAGTTACTTTTACCAAGAATGAAAATGATTGCTGGGGCACCTGGGTGACTCTGTTAAGCGTCTGCCTTCAGCTCAGGCCGTGGTCCCGAGGTCCTGGGATCATGCCCCACGTCGAGCTCCCTGCTCGGCGGGGAGTCTGCTTCTCTCTCCCTCTTCCTCTGCCCCTCACCCCCAGCTCATGCTGAATCTCTCATGCTCTCTCTCAAACAAATAAATAAAATCTTAAAAAAAAAAAAAAAAAAAGAAAGAAAAAAGAAAATGATTGCTAAATATTGGTGTCCCTCCGGTCTTAGTCCTGTGTTCTCATCCTTCCACATATGTTGTTTCTAGGTAGTATCAGCTAGTCAGTACTTTTAGAAGCTATCTATATCCTTAAGAATGCTTACATTTTATTTCTAATCCAGACTTAAAGACATTTCAAATTTAGCATGTCCAAAATCACAGTTACCACTCCCCGAATGTGTCTTCTCTACTTCCCTATCTAATAAATAGGACCATCTCCTGGTTCTCAAGCCAGAAATTAAAGACTCTTCCTTGATTTCCTTCCTTTACTTTCTTTCCTTTACTCCCCTACTCAATTCAGAGCCCATCTACTTTTTTCCACCTTCACAGCTATTACCCTCATCCAATCTTCTATCCAAACTACTGTGATAGCCTCAACTAATTGATTAACTTCTACTCTTAAGCCCCTCTAAACCATTACCCATATGGCAGTAGAGATAATATTCCGTAAACATGAAACAGATGTTACTCCCTGCTTGAGATCTTTAAATACCTTCTCATTCTACAAAAATTAAATCTAAACTTCTTATAAGGTCCACAAAAGCTTTGCCTACTTCATCTAATTCTACCCTTAACTCTACAGTAATTTTAACAACACTGGCCTTCTCCCAGTTCCTATAATACACCAAGTTCTTTCTTGCCTCAGAGACTTGGCATGTGTTGCTCTGCCAGAATGCACAGTCCTCTGTTCTTTGTCTGCTACATCCTCCTCATTCTTCAGGTCTTGTCCAAAATGTCATGTTATCAGAAAAGTCTTCCATAAACATCAAAACGGGGATAATAGCTATTCTCTAGCTAAGTATCTCTTATTTTGCTCTTCTCAGTGCTTACCACAATGTGTAAATATTTCTTTAGTTTTTTGTGTTACTCCTTTCCCAGAATGTAAGCTCTACAAGGGCAGAAAACAGATCTTATTCACCACTGTATCCCAGCGCATAGCACAATGCCACCGCTTTAACAGGCACTGGACAAACACCTGCTGAAGGAATGAATACATGGATAAGAAGCCAGAAAGGAGCCGACAGGTAATAAAGTGATGGGGGCAAAGAACTGCGCCATTTGGAGCATGTGACCAACACAAGTGTGATGGAGAGTGGTAGTGGTTACAAAGTAGAATGCTAGAAAATCAAGATTTCGGAGTGGGCAGAATTTCTGGCAGCAAGATCCAGAACATGATCGGGATGTGGGGGGAACGGAAATAGAGAACTGGAAATGAGGCAGTCATAAAACTAGGAGGCTAGGGGCCTGGACGGTCATCCGTGTACATGTTAAAGGTACTACAAATAAGTCAATTTAGGGAGGAAGAGCAAGACTCTGAGCAATCTTCAATTAACGAAAGACTGAATCGAGAATGAATCGAGCAACGGATGACAGCATCAAGGGAGGAGAAAGGACGGTTTATCTGGAGGACAAAAAAACATGGCTTTTATGAGGGGAAGTAATGGTCTAAATCAGTGTTTCTTAAACCATAGCTAGACTGAGTTTATCTTTACCCATGTTTAAGACAAATGAAATGGAACAGGAAAGATAACACTAAATCATGTAAAATAAGTGAAAGTACAAGTTTTGTTGAACTTTGTTTCAGTTACAAATGTATATAGACCTGTGATGTAACATGTACTTCTCAAGTCTATGGATTTAGAATAGGAAATTTTGAAAAATCTGATCTAGACAAGGCAACAGGGAGGAGGAGGAGGAGGAGAAAAAACTCCCAGCCTCTTGGCCCTAAAGCAAGCTGAATGCTGGGAAGCCTTCACTGAAGGGCTACCAGGCAAAGACTCTGGCAAAAGCTAAGGAGCAATGAAGGCACAGAAGTAAGGGGACATTCCAAGAAATGAAGGCTATAAGGGAACATGCTTAGACCAAACCACTGTAAGGCAGAAAGGAGACAATTTAGACACTGAAGATTTGCATTTTTAGATTAATATACACTTCTCTTTCTTGGTACTTATAAATAGCACCACAGATTTCCCAAAACTAACTTCTACTAAATACATTTTTGTTTTACCTGTGACTTTACTGAATTCTTCCAGAATGTTTTCCTTAGTCTTATTCTTCGGAATTGATCCAACAAAAAGCCTGTTGTTTGCCACAGAAATGCACACTCCAAGGTGTTTACCGGGGCGAATTTCATAGCTGTCACACTGCAAGGAAGAAAAGAACCAGATACCCCACAACCATCCCAAACTCAGGACAATTGTCTCACTCTAAAAAATTCAACAATGTAAGGTCAAACACTTCCTGCTTCACAAACTCACCGAGTTCCCTCATGCTTACCATTATAAAAATGTGTATTTTAAAACTTGTTACAGTCTCTCATCTTAGTTTGGTTTTGTTAATTTTCACTGCTCTTCTGGATATAAAGGACTGAGTTATTCACTATTTTTTAAAATACCTTACGTCATATTTCAATGTTATCTATCTGAAAAATTTTCCAGAGAATTTCAGAAAAAGTACCCAAGACTGATCATTCAGGATCCATGGAGATAAAATTAGATACAGATAAGCCAAAAGCAAAACAATAGTTAACTAAGTATAATCAGTAAGAAGAAATTCAGAAGAATTTTATATTCTACAGAAAACACAGTATTCTAAATCCAAACATGAAAAGTTTTAAACTGCACAGCAAACACAATACCTTCAAAATTATATGAAATGATAGGAAATAAAAAAAGGCTTTATTTAAATCACTATGGAGATAGTTTCTTTGATAAACCTCAGCTTCCTCGACTTTAACATTACTTACCATTAGCCTACTAAAACATACATGATTATTAAAAAATAAAAATCATCTATACGTTACCAAAAATTAGGAAATGAAGCTTTGAAATTTTCTCAATAAAAACAAGGAAAAGTTCTTAATAAAAACTAAAATCTGGGTCAAGCTAGAATGGAACTAATTTAGAAGCGATTAATAGAACAAAAAGCCCTGGTGAAAGAGGTACCCATTCCAGAAGGCCTGGAACTAGACTAAGTGAGGCTTTTAAATGTCTGGAAAGAGTATGCAGAAACAATGACACGGTTTTTTTCTAAGTTCCTGAGATGGGTGTACCAACACAGGTAAGAAGATATTTCTCATTTGCAGAACTGTTACAACTACTACTACTACAGGAGTACTATTGATTACTACGTACAAAGGGTAAAAGAAAATTACTAGATTACAGAAGATGGTCTACAAAATAGTAAAAAAGGAGAAAGACTGAAAGAGAAGACTGGAGGGTCTGAAAACAAAGTACAGAGAAGAACAGGCATATACTCAGACAATAAATTGTATGATTAGGTTGTAACAAAAATAAAAGTCTCAGATCATTTCATGAATTGTGTCCTAAAAGTCACTGTCACCCAGTTATATCCCCCAGAATCCATCCCAGCCTTCATTACACTTTTAAGAATCTTGTCCTGAAGTTTAACGGTAACAATTCACATCTTTTTTTGCCTAAAATCCAAAGAGAGAACTGCAGAAGCCAAATATTCAAATGAAACTTTAGATACTACCCAATCTAATAAGTAACAGAATTACGGGAGACTTTCTCGAACACATTACTTCTTGGGTATTTTCAGTCTTTTTTACTTTTATCATCAGAAAAAAATAGAGCAAAGGTCACATATCAACTTTATCAACATCCCCACCATGCAGAGCAAAAACCAAAGAAAACGAAACAATGTTAACTGCGAATGTTTTTGAGGCAGTCCGATCCGCCACCAGACAGTGAGTGTTTATCACATACCAGCTTAACGGCCTCCTGTGCAGCCTCCTTCCCGCAGAAGGTGATAAACGCATACCCTCTGTTCTGACCAGACAGTGGATCCATCATAAGACGTAGATCCCAAATGGGACCAGCCTTTTCAAAAAGGGGTACCAACTCATCCTCATATAAATCTCTTGGTATTTTACCTACAAAGACCTGGGGGAAAAAAAAGACAAACCTCTATATTAGAATCCCAATATAAGCATTTTAGAGCCACAAAGCCCAACAACTCTTCTTCTAAGGGGCTAGGGGCACAAAGATGGTTAAAGAGGAATGAAGACAATTTGAATCATTAGGAGTTAGCTCTAATGTTTACTATAATGACCGATGGTCATTAACACAGAATAATATTCTATACTGAAAAACGAAAATGATTAGTAAGCGTGTGCAAAATACCTCTGAATTGTTTATTTTTATAATTTCTCTTTTTCTCACAAAAACACAGAATAAAGGATATATATGTATCTTTGGCAAATACGATATCAGCATTTTTGTAAAAACAGTAATTGAATAAATACTGAAGTGGTCTTTCTCAAGTTTTCTCAACTCTCAGTGCCTACGTGGCACAGTCAATGACTTCCCCTAAGGTCATGATCTCAGGGTTGTGAGACTGAGCCCTGTGATGGGCTCCACGCTCAGCGTGGAGCCTGCTTAAGTTTCTCTTGCCCTCTGCTCTTCCACCCCTCATGTGCTCTCTCTCTTTCTCAAACATATAAATCCTAAGGGGGCGCCTGCGTGGCTCAGTGGGTTAAGCCTCTGCCTTCAGCTCAGGCCATGATCCCAGTGTCCTGGGATCAAGCCCCACATTAGGCTCCCTGCTTGTCAGGAACACTGCTTCTCCCTCTCCCACTGCTTGTGTTCCCTCTCTCACTATGTCTCTCTCTGTCAAATAAATAAAATCTTAAAAAATATATATACATATATATAAAATCTTAAAATAACTACTACAAAAATTATGTAATAAGGATTAAATTATGATAAATATGTTAAACAATAAAAAACTTTCTCAGTGTTTAATACTAGACCCACAATTTCTTCAAGCTTCTACCACATAGGCAACAATAAAGACAATCTTGTACATTAAAACATTTGCAATCCACACGCAGTTCTTATTTAGATGCATTTATTTATTTGAGAGAGAGAGGAGAGAATTTCAAGCAGACTCCCCACTGAGTAGGGAGCCAAACACAGGGCTCGATCTCATGACCCTCAGAGATCATTACCTGAGCCAAAACCCAAGAGTCAGACACTTAACTGACCGAGCCAACCAGACGCCTTCACATGCAGCCTTAAAGAGTAAGTCAGCGTCTGCATTTGAGATGAATTTTCTTTCTTTTTCTTTAAAGATTTTATTGGTCAGAGACAGAGCGCACAACCTGGGCGAGCAGCAGGCAGAGGGAGAAGCAGGCTCCCTGCTGAGCAAGGATCCCAGAATCCTGGGATCATGACCTAAGCCAAAGGCAAACGCTTAACCCGCTGAGCCACCCAGGCGTTCCTAGAGATGAGTTTTCTAGTGAAACTCATCTACATCAACATTTCACACTCTGAAAAATGACTTGAATAATGAAAGAGCAATCCAAAAGATGCCCAAATTATTACTGGATATTCAGTTTCTGAAGTTAAGCTCTATAACTGCGCTAAGAAAATCGTTTTCAAAATAATTAGATTTACCTTCATGGCTGTCTGGTAAAACTTCTTTTGAATCCCTAGCATAATTCTCTCACACAAGAGCTATTCAATTCTTCTGTCTCCTTAAAGTCTCCAACCCTCATTCACTAAGTCATCCAAGGAGGGCATGTGGGAAGGTCAGTGGTTTTCTCATATTCTTTCCTAAATTCTTTCCTTCTTCATACCTCAGAAAAAGAGATTTATTTCCTTTCCAAGGTTAACTTCCTAACCATAACAGAGCCCATTTCTTCACACCACCTTCTCCTGGAAATAACTGCAAACTTTTATTTGACTCTCCTATTTTGCTGAGTACATCCTTCCAAACATGCCAAATCTTCCGTAACAAAACAATATGCAAACAAGGAATATTTACCCATTTATCTTTCAAGCACTTTCAAATGCTTTGAACACATGGCCATGTCTACTTTATTTCACTCACGCAGTTATTCAACCCATCTACCATATCCTTAGTACTGTGCAGCTACGAAGCATAAGACATCTAAGGCATCATCTGTGCAACATCCCTACAGAACTATATTTCTAACAAAAACTCACTCTGAAGAGCCCTTGGCATCTATGCTAACTACAATACTGACTTCTTCCTCTAATACTAAGCTGCATCCCCAAATGGGATCCACTAATGGATTTCAAACAACTAAATTCAAGTCTTTTTTCCCCTCACTCTCATCTTGCCTTCTTGGTAAGTGGTAACACTGGTGATGCTGCCTCCTAAAAATTCTCTTCCCTTCAATTTTTAGAATCCTCCACTAGCCTGGTCTTTTCACCTTTTATTTTTTTCTCTATCCTTTCCACAGTGATTCTTCTATTCACCTAATAACAGTCTGCATGTTCCCAAAGTTATGGCTCTATCTAATCTTCCCTGTATTTCCTTCACTTCCAAAGATCATATCCATTCCCCAGTCTATATCTATACACTCATCTCTCACATCTACATCCTAAGACCTAATTTTATACTTCCAACTGCATTTGGAAGCATATCCTATTGGTTGTCCTAATTTTACCTCAAATTATCAATAAACAGTAATGTATTTTCTTGTTTTTTGAATATAGATATATCTAGAGATATGAATGACTGTGGATGTGAATAGTACTAATAGTGATTTATCAATGTGTGAGAAAATGGTTCTAATTTTATTCTTTTCCTTTAATTATATTTTCTAAATATTCTGCCACAGATATAATATTTTTTTTAAGATTTTATTTTATTTATTTGACAGACAGAGATCACAAATAGGCAGAGAGGCAGGCAGAGAGAGAGAGGAAGGGAAGCAGGCTCCCCGCCGAGCAGAAAGCCTGACGTGGGGCTTGATCCCAGGACCCGGGGATCATGACCTGAGCTGAAGGCAGAGGCCTTAACCCACTGAGCCACCCAGGCGCCCCAAGATTTATAACAAATGTTTTTTTCCAAAAATCAAAATGAGTAAAACCCACCCTTGTCAACCACTTCCTTTGATTTTCCTCATTTTTCTTGAGTAACATAATTTCTGCTGCTCCCTCCAGCCCCCAAGATGACCAAGGAAATAATACTTTCAATAAACAAAAATCTCAGCTATTTTGAATCCCTTCCATTCCTATCCACACCCAACTAAACTTCTATGTATCGGCCTGGAGTTGTTCCAATAAATAATACCTAGCCTACAGAACTGACTTCCAACCTACTCATAGAACTTCTCCAAACTTTTCATGAGACAGGGAATTCAATATACCTTCAACTCATATGCCATGTATTTTTCTAAGTTCTAGAGATACAGTGAATACCACAAACAAGGTCTAAGCATTCACGAGGTTTACACTATTGATAGAGACAAAGGTTAAAAAATATATATATGAGGGGCGCCTGGGTGACTCAGTGGGTTAAAGCCTCTGCCTTCGGCTCAGGAGGTGATCCCAGGGTCCTGGGATCAAGCCCTGCATCAGGCTTTCTGCCTGGCGGGGAGCCTGCTTCTGCCTTACCTCTCTGCCTACTTGTTCTCTCTCTCTCTGTCAAAATAAATAAATAAAATCTTTAAAATATATATATATATATATATATATATATATATGTATATGATTTCAAGAGGTATTAAAGGCTAAGAAAAATAAAAGCAAGGAAAGGGAATAAATGAGGAAGAGGCTCTATTTTAATTGGAAGAGTCTCCCTAAAAAGGTAAGTCTGAACTGAGACCTAAGGTAGAAAATTAAGTAAAAATCTAAGGGGGAAAATAAAATCTGAGGAAAGAGCAATCCAAGGTAAAGAACATTACAAAAAGATGGGAGCACACTTAACATATCTGATGAACAGCAAACATGACAGCGACTGGAAGAAAAGCTGGGAAAGAGAGAACAGGGGCCAGATTAAGTTAAACCATGTTAGGAGTTTGCATTTTATTCCAGTTGTTTTGGGAAGATAGCAGAGGGTTTTGAGCAGACAAGTGACTAGATTTGACATGTTCCAAGGGCCTGGCAGCCAGGCAGCAGAGGAACTGTATGGAGAAACGGGCTGCCCAGTCAGGTCACAAGGCAATCCAGGCAAGGGATGATGGCAGCACGGAGTAATAGGTTGATAGCTCAAAGGTAGGGAGAATGTGAGAAATAGTTAAGTTTTAAGTTATGCTGGGTTCATGGGGTGCCTGGGGAGCTCAGTGGTTAAAGCCTCTGCCTTCGGCTCAGGTCACGATCCCAGGGTCCTGGGATCGAGCCCCGCATCGGGCTCTCTGCTCAGCAGGGAGAGCCTGCCTCCCTCTCTCTCTCTCTCTGCCTGCCTCTCTGCCTACTTGGGATCTCTGTCAAATAAACAAATAAAATCTTTAAAAAAGAAAAGTTATACTGGGTTCAGATCTACATTTTAGTTACTTTGAACAAGTTTCTTAATCAGCGAGTCTCAGTATCTTCATCTGGAAATAACATCATCCAGAGGGTTCAATTTCCATGTGAGCAGAGCGCCCAAATCTTGTTCCTCATTTTATTCCCAGCTTGAACACAGTGCCTGGAACATATTAGCTGCTCATCTTTTTTTCTTTAAAGATTTTTATGTATTTATTTGACAGATAGAGATCACAAGAAGGCAGAGAGAGAGGAGGAAGCAGGAAGCAGGTGCCCCACTAGCTGCTCATCTTTGATGAATGTTCAAATGAACATCGACCTCATGCTATTAACTTATACACTAGGTCCCACACCTTCTCTTCCACTCAAGAACAACAATTTGATCATCAGCGCTCTAGTAATTATAATTTGTCACTTAAAAAAATTTTTTTTTCAGGGGCCCCTGGATGGCTCTGTCAGTTGGGCATCACACTTAAAATTTAAATGAAAAAAGTATGTATCCTGACTACGACACACGTTCCAGTTACTGTCCCATTTCTCTGCTACCCTTTTCGGCAAAATTGCTCAAAAAAGCTGTAGGTACTTGCTATCTCAAATCCCTTGCCTCCCACTCTCTTTAATCCTCTCCAAATAGGGCTTTCACCACTATTCTTGACAAAGTCACT